TTTTTTAACCCCCCCCCCACAAAAAAAAGGGACTGGCGCCCAACGTCTTTTAGCCCAAAGGTTTTCGGATGGTAACCAAATTGCATTGTGAAGAATCAGGCATTACACCACTTGTTTTTTTCTACCTGAGCCTCTGTTCATCTGTGGTAATCTCCAGGATGTTATTATCACGCAGATCGCCTCGGAATCCCATCCTACTGGATCAGTCTGGCAAGACGCACCAGATTGATTATCGATCTGCCATGAATGACTCACTCAAGTAGTGCACCAAAACAGCTAGCTGGTATCAGTGATCGATTTTTCCCTCGCAAATCTAACGAGTCTGTTCATACGATTGTTTGACAACGTGTCAATGTAATCTAACAAGTGAGACCCTGCAGCCAATAAAACGTGCGCTGTGAACGGTCATCAGCATGGCCTTGAGGATTATACCAAGGCAGTTCTGGGTGTGAATTATGAAGATACGGGCGCACCCACTTGCAGAGTGATAACCGTGGGTGATCGCATTTGGTTGTATTCTGTGGTAAACTACCCTCAAGACTAAATGGTGCAGCATATGTTTACACACACGTCATTCTACAACAAGAAACTGAAGCAATCTTTTCACACAGGATAGGAACAAAGGTAGCTGCTGGTGATCAGCTCGGCTAGTTTAGTGTCTTTCAAATTAACAGGTGATGAGACAGAAATCGGTTGGCTACACTCACGAATGCAGAGGTACAATTAGATAGAAAGGTCGCGGAGTCACGTGGATGACCAACAAACAGCTTAGATCAGAGTAAGAAACTAAGTCGTGGAAACAGAGTGGCTAGTAGGCCAGTACAAGTTAAAGACTGCATAGGTTGATTACATAGTTCAAGTTCCATGACGGTAGTTCGGCTCAAGCCTAGACTAAGATCCCCGGGGTTGGGTTCGAACCAGGGACCTTCAGGTTAGTAAGTATGAGTGCAATTTAAGCTCGATTTCAAAAGTCAAAGGGATCAATCCTAGTGTTTAGTTCATTGACTTCCATCATTCGTTTGTCATTGTGTGTGACGTTTGCTGAGCAATTCGCCTAAATACACTACCTAATCGTTGCGTTTGTCACGCCGAAAGATTCATTGATCTCACACACAGAATTTTCTAGCTGTGTCACAAGTGAGCGTATCGATCGGGGAAACGCCCAATATGCGTGTGTAGCGTAGTTTGGCTTCGTTTTACTCGGTCCTTCTTTGAATGTCATGTTGTGAAACATTCTACCGCTAACTGTTTCTGTTCACTCCCCCCAACGCAGATATTCAAGACTGTGATCATCATAGCTACACGATTGGCGGGGTTCAGTCATTTCTTCCGGATTACTTTGACACTCAAATTTATCATGTTCTTCCATCACTCGTGTCCCCATCCCCGGTCCTCCTACTAACACCATATCAGTTAGACGATTACTCGTTAGACCATCCAATACCCAACACCTAACCAAAACCCAAGGCGAGAACAAAGTTATATTCTATTTTCTTGTCTTTTATGTTGCCAACTCGACCCCTCCCCGCCAAGTTTTAACTCATCTTATTGATTTTCTATACTTTGTGCTTCCACGTGATCAGCACCTAATGGATTTTGGGGGTGATGCTGATGAATATTCCTTTGATCCTCTTCTTCATCACGTCGGTGACGTTATCTTTTCGTCAACAGTGACATCACATCAGCTGTTTATGACTCTTTCTGTGATTTGTTTTGTCGATTTACTTGCATGTGAAGAGACTTGGTATCAGAACACTATCTTTAGGGGATCATCTTGTAACCATGTGTGAACTCTTTTTATCAACTCGATAGAAATCACTCCTCTTGAGTTTCCTTATAACTGGTTTGGTGAGGAACACTTTTTAATGTCAGGTTAGTTTTTGACCAAGGTAGAGAGGAGTCAAATGAACTTGTGCGCAACTAAATTGTTGGTACTATGAGAAGTCACATGCCTGGCTGATTACATTCGAGTGGGGGTGGGCATGCTGGCGAATCTCGGTTACTGAGTCCTACTGATCCCTCCAACATGGTACTTTGGTGAGTGTGTAACGGTATTTTTCTCAGCTTAGCTCTCCATCTGAGGCTTCTAAGCTAGCGTTCAAGTCAAAACAACCACCAAAGGTGCACAACATTTATTAACGTCCAAAAAGAAGTCGGGAACACTTGTACCGTGCTTCATATATATATATGTATATGTATATATATATATATATATATCGTAGGCGGCAATAACTTTCTGGAAATTCTGACGCGTTCTGGATGCGCCACCGACAACCGGCATTCGGCCAATACTGGGTCATGATTGGTTGTTGGGTCCAAACTTTCGACCAATCAGATCTCGGCTTGATGCCGGACCGGCAAGCATCCCAAATTTTTGGCCAATCTTGCGTGGGATTGACTTCTCAGCCGTAGCAACTCCTGAGTGCGAGCGGTCAAGAGGGATCCGTGTGAAGTTCCGCCTAACAGTTAGTGAATAGAACTCATCGTTTACTTGATTCCCCTCTAGTGTCATGCAAATTTTTCCTTGCGTGGGCCAAAGTAACCTAACCTTACATGCCATCATCCACGCCACCGTGATCATTGACAGTAGTACACCAGTAGCACAAACTACTGCTTGACTATCGGTCCCCATCTTCGTTCAGCTGTGACACCCCTTTGATATCGAGCTGCCATGTCACACGAAGGAAGCACGAGGGCTGAGGTACTGTTCGTGCTCTAGTTGAAACGTGGTGAAACTGAGCATCAAAAGATGGCAAGCACGAACAAATGTCTGTTTTACCAGAATGATCATCGTTCCAATAGTCGAGCGCAAAATGATGAATACAATGAATACGGCGCGAAAAGTGGAACATGTCAAAAAGTAACGTATCCTTTGAGGACAACTGTCGAGAGTTCCCGAGTGAAGTTCCGGATGTGGGACGTGTCTTCTATGCAGTACAACTGTTACACGCATTCCGTAGATGTCCGTGGAGATTTCTGGTGCTCGGGGGCCCTAGTTGCATGCACATCGTCATTATCATCATCATCATCATCATCATCATCATCATCATCATCATCAACATCGTCCCCATCATCATCATCATTATCATCATCATCAACATCATCGTCATCAGCATCATCATCATCATCATCATCANATCAACATCATCATCATCATCATCATCAACAACATCATCATCATCTTCATCACCATCATCATCACCATCATCGACAGCATCACATCAGTGTTCAACAGCGATGTTTCACTGCCGTACAACCATTATTTATTTGAAAGCCTTATGGTAAAGAAAAGAGTAAAAGTGTACGGGGAAGGGACTTAGTGCTAGCTTACCACAACCATTCCGAGGTGCCTACACCTCCAGACACTCAATCAGACAATCTGGATAGAATCTGACAACCATAACGCCACTGACATCGGTTGGCAGTCATAACTTTCAGCGTCTCCAACCAGGCACAGTGAGGATCACGCGGTCCCCATCCTGGAAGGTGATTGGCACCGACAGCACCCAAGCGTTTCGTGATCTCCTTCATACTCTTCTGCCAGATCAAGTGTTGGCCACCTCTCTGTTTACGCCACTCTGAACTGGGCGTGGAAAACAGCTGTGCAGCGAGTGGTGTCCATTTGTGTTGTATAATTGCATGAACGTGAATGCAGCTTGAACTGATGTGCCTGAAGTCCGTAAGCCTGCTCGTGACGCAGACTGTAGCCCTGTAAACAAAACTGGATGGGAAATTGCATTGTATACGTTGTCGGTTATGAGTGCAAGTGAGACAGGAACTATTGTGATGCATGATCTAGTGACTGACCGGTAGAGTACTATCAGGTTTCCCAAACCTACACACGAGTAGTCGAGATGCCCTGAGTTCCGAACCACGGACTATCTGATCAGTAAGTTCACGCCCTAACCATTGACCTATCTCGAGTTCAACTGTTATACAACAGAGGAGAAAGAAAACTCTCGTAAGAAATCAAAATAATCGGGAGAAGTGGAGACGTGGTGAGAAATTCCCCGTGATCCGAGAAAAAACGGTCCTACCGGTAGCGCCAACTCATCCCTTGGCTTCATTTTGGAGCAGCAGGCTACCAAAGGGGATTAGTGCGGCAGTCTTTTTTTGTGAACCTCACCTAGAATGACGGTTAGACAGACAGTAAGCTGGTCACTGGGATCGCTCACTACCTCGAGGAATCAGGTGGACCACACCCATGAAGCCGCAAAGGCTTCATAGGACTGAGTGTATTCGTTTTGCATTCCCGTGTCATGACCTGCTCTTGGTAAACCTCTCGTTGACAAGGGAGCGGTTGGAGTTGATTCAGGGTCTTCGTCCCTGAATCTCAAAGGACGTGTGTATCAAGCTACAGCACCGGCTGTTTTGTTGTGTGGACCTGAGACTTGGCCTATTCGAACAGCGGAACTGAGTCTTCAGGTGTTCGACAATCGTTGTCTCAGAACCATAGCTCGTGTGGGTTGGTGTCGGCGAATCCGTAACGAGGCAGTTAGAGAGCGCGTTTTCGGTTGTGTAACGGGTACTTCCATTGAAGAATGTGTCCAGCACCAGGAGCTGCGTTAGTTGGGACATGTGTTGCGTATTCCAAACCACCGTTTGCCGAAGAGATTGCTGTTATTCATGACCACGTCAGAGTGGCCTAAACAACGAGGTGACCAACCCTTGACTTGGCAAAGGCCTATGAAGAAGATCACGAAACGCTTGGACGCCGTCGATGGTACTCGCCTTTCAGGATGAGGACCGCGTGAACCTCACTGCGCCTGAATGGAGACATTGCACATTTGGCTGCCGACCGATGTCAGTGGCGTTCTTGTTGTCAGTTTCTATCCAGATCGCCTGAGTGAGTGTCTGGAGGTATGGGCATCTCGGAATGATTGTGGTAAACTAGCACCAGGTTCCTTTTCCGTCCACCTTTACTCTTTTCTTTACAATAAGGCTTTCAAATAGATAGAATGTGCACTTCTCAAAAACTCCCTGCAAATGAGATATTTACTTTTGTGTCTGATGGCTTGTATCCCGTTGGTGCGTGTTTGCTAACATAAGGCTTTGCAGCTGAAGGTGCTTCTCCAGTCATGGCTAGGGGCAATTTGGTTCCGGTATCTCTGACGCATTTTGGGTTACCTCTGGTCACACGAATGTTCACATTCAGATGCTTATTCACGTGACTGTGGGACAAACTTACGGGCCATCACTCCAACAAAGTGCTGGATTTCGTTTTCAGAAGAAATCGGACGATCGGATCACGACTGTAGTTCCGTGTAAGTTATTCTATTCGACAACAGCATCAAATGTGACCATCCGTCAGTCGGAGACCCCCAAGCAGGGGACCCACAGCTCCATACAAGGAGGGAAAGTTTGTTAGATGTTTCGCCACCTATCGATCCTGGCTATCCCAGCCAGTCTGCCCCAATAACC